TTCTTATTTCAATTTTATTCGCTGCGTTTTAACGCCAGTCTTTTAAATCCGCGTTTGATCGGTCCACTGCGAATCTACTTTATGACTGGTAAATCGAGATAGATTCATCAAGACAAAGGCTGACTATATTAAGAACTTGTAAAACGTAGCGGTAAATTCTTACCTCTTTTATCATGTTTAAGGAATCGCCTCTCTTATTGTGGCTTTCATCCTGCAGTATATGTACAAAAAATATATATATATCTGTCAAGCCGTAGAAGAACGCCAAGGCGTAGCCTGATTTTCCATGATAAATGGATCCGGGATTTTTACCAAGCTTTTTCATGTCTTTTGATCGGAGAATCGGCATATAATGAGATCGACGTCTTTATTCCGAGATTAAAAAGCTAAAATTACTATGCCGTGCGTTAATATTTCCCGGATATTCCATTAACTTTTTTCTGCTTTCGTTATATTCTCTCGCGACGATAGAAGTCGAACATTTCAGCGCGACAAGAATATTATCCCGTATCATTTATCTATTTTTTTATCTCATAAAATATGTGTGAAAATTCGATCAAAGCACAAATCGCGGACGCGATTGCTTTCTTTTTCGAGAATGTTCCTCGGCAATCACATATCTCCTACGCAATCTGACGTGAAGTGTGGGCGCGCAACAAGGGGCGCAGTGAATCGAAATTGCTAACTCCCGACGCTGAATATCGAATAAATGCGGGAAGAAAAATGTCGGATGTTACCGCGGTATGGGGTATGATGGAAAGAGCAGAATAGAAAAGAAGATAATTATCGGTACTCTCGCGTGGTTCTCCCGAGAGGGTCACTTTCAGGATTCTCTCTCTCTCTCTCTCTCCCTTTTTTTTCACTGAGTCGTTTTCGCGAGGGCATTTATCAAGATAAACTTTGATGCCGACCTACTGACAGTTGATTTACCGACTTCGAAATTGGATCTCGAAATGGACTCGAATCGGTCCACTCCGAGATCACGATAGAGAGACATATGATAGGAGCAACGCAGTTTGAATGAATTTAAACGATCGGCAGAATATATGACCTACGATTAAAATATCTATTTTATCAAAATATAATATTTTCTTTCTTCCTTGCCTGTTCTAATGTATTATCTAGGTATTTCGCTTCAAGAATTATCCGTTTAATTTTCTAATCTTGGCCTGACTGTAGAGACGAAAAAATGTAATTATTACACACGCGCAATCGATATAAATTATTCGTGATATTAATATATCAGTGTATAAAATGATTATTGATTGCACGCAATAGAAAGAATTAAAATCTAACGCGTTAAACATTCGGTGTAGTTGCAACTATATAGTTTTAAGACTGAATTTTTTGAGCAGCTGACAAATATCGTGCTACTATTCTAATAAAAATAATCCTGTACACGATAAATGTTAATGTCGATTGTGTAACGTAAATAAGATTCCGCACTCTGTCTCAGTTACAAAGAGACAAACTAGCTGCTTCTAGTCAGTCGCTCGCAGCGAAACGGTTGATCTAAAATGCGGGCGCAACGAGAGGTACGATGTAACGATGACGTTTCTCCTCGCGCTGAAACGTGAATGTCGCGACAACGTTCTCGACTCCGTATATTTTAGCGCTGGTACATCGTGCCAACACACGAGCGACATGTTCGTACGTGATGATGTTACGTGGCTGCCTCCTTCCCTTCTTCACCTGTTCGCTTCCCTTATCGAGCCTTCGTTGGCCCTTTGTATGTTCGCACGCAAAAGCAACTGATATCGTCGCTGATCTCGTTCCCGGTGAATCGAGGATGCACACATGCAATTATTTGGACACTTTGTCATCCTGTCCCTACTACGTTATTCCCGGTCGCGTTCGATCGCGGTCGCCGCATGAAATCCCGATTTTTGTAATACCTTGAGCTTGCCAAAGTGTGCTTTGTCGAGAGCACGAGAAGTGCTGTCTCGTCCTTCTCGCGTAGCTATTTATCCGCAAATTATATGAGCAACATAGCTCATAGATATTGTATTCCTGATATCGTCGCTGATCTCGTTCCCGGTGAATCGAGGATGCACACATGCAATTATTTGGACATCCTGTCCCTACTACGTTATTCCTGGTCGCGTTCGATCGCGGTCGCCGCGTAAAATCCCGATTTTTGTAATACCTTGAGCTTGCCAAAGTGTGCTTTGTCGAGAGCACGAGAAGTGCTGTCTCGTCCTTCTCGCGTAGCTATTTATCCGCAAATTATATGAGCAACATAGCTCATAGATATTGTATTCCAGAATTATTGCCACTTGTCATTTTTCACAACTACATATATGTACTAAACAATATATCAGAATAATTGATGAATCTGTTACATTATCGATAAAAATAGATAAGTCACAAGTGAATGAAATTTATCTCTAGTTAACTTCAGTTAAGCAGACTTATTTATAAAGGTATGTAATTTAATGTTATTTAATTATTTAATTAAATAACAAATTGTGAAATGGATATGCGTCGATAATAAAAGTGAAAATTGTTTGTTTAACACTTGTTCAAAGATTTTATAGAAAAAGAAAATAACAATATTTTTCTGGAAAATAATAGTTAAAATATAGTTGTATAATTATATAAATATCCTCCTAAGATGATTGAAATTGATTCTCGACGAATAATTTGACTGAAGTTCATAATTCTTGAGATGAAATATTAAATGACTTGCTAATGAAATCCGGAATTAAATTAAACTAATAGACGGTTAAATTAATAAACCGATATAAGAATCTTATTTAAAGCGAGCATTATGTTAAAAGACATCTACTCTACTATGGTCGACATGTTCGCTTGTCATGTGGACTTGGAGCGTCGACTAATATTACCACGATCCCCACATAGTGCTCTGATATGAATTCGCACGAGTAAAGTGCATTATATTATTAACCTATTCTGGAAACCGCAGCTGCGTATCGGCTATCTATCAATGAATTATTCAACAAACTGAAAGAGTTGGTCTGGTAAATAATAAATTTTATAAGAGTCCTACTTTATAACATTATGTTTTCTTGCGAAATTGTGAACACGCGTAGTTGCACGGTTTGAAAATTATAATAAATGCACTTATATTTCAATTATTTTTTTTTAAATATAAGAAATGTTTATTCATGATCATTATCAGAATAATGACAAACGCCTATATCGTATAGTCATTAAATACATAAAATGTGTCGTCACAATAGATATGAGATCGCCTTCACTGTTTTAAAATTCCATTTAGCTTAGCAAATTTCAAAGTTTTCGTTAAGTATCTTAAAGACAGTTTATGCGGTAGATAATGGCTCCATTTTAACTGATGAGATGAGAATGAAAATATTTTATTTTAAACTAAGCTTCACCAACAATATCGTTTGGAATATCATACTATTTTCTACTAAACAATAAATATCTCATGTATGGCCGCGTTCGAAGATGATTAAGATTCTGGCTAGAATTAATATATCTCGATGATTTATTTCGTGTCTAAAGATATATCTACGTACTTCTAAATTAAGAAAGTCGGGATTCAATACAAGAGTTTCGCGCTAATGAATTAACAACGAAGAATTCTTTACGGGCTCCTTCTCTTCTTTGACTCGATATTATTAAGAAGAATCTACAGCTGTCCGTGACTTTTTATTGCAACTGGTACAACGATTTGAACGAAAAGGACAACGTAGTAAAAAAGATACAGTCGAAATATACGAATAAAAGAAAGAGGAAGGAAGAAGTAGTCGAAGACAGATGAAAGATTCGTCAAGATGGAAGTAACAGGCGAAAGAGAGAGGTTTCTCTTTAACGATCAGACATCGATTCCTTCAAGACAATAAAGTTGCTATATTAATATTTTAGAATTAAAACTGCGAGAGAAAGAGAGAGAAAAAGGCTGAGAAATTTGTAAGGTTAAAAAATTTAACAAAATATTTCCAAAATTTGGCTTACGTCACAATTAGTACAAACGGCACAAAATAAAACATTTTACACAAATACGTAGTAGAATTGCTTAATTTGATCTGTGAGGTCTCCGGAAAATTTTTGTGAAAATTGGAAAAAATAAAAGTTTTCCTAATTTTTCATATTCCATGCGAATTACACATTTGAAATGTAATTATTGGCCGTAATCATATATCATATATTCGCCCGAATTTTCGCTCTCATTTTTTCCTTTAACGCTGCTTTCACTTCATCATGTCGCGCCACACGACGGCAGATGTATTTTTTATCAGCGATATTACAACGCATCCTCGTAAATGGAAAGACCGCAGGCGATGGAAAAGTAACCGGTACAGTTATTGATTTTCTGTTAACTGGCTATTTTGCCGAGAGAATTACCGCAAACGCATTTTGAACGTGTCGTTTACTCCAACGCGGTATGGCTATGAAACTGAATAGAGGAATCTATGCGCATAAGTATATATGTATATACCGTTTACCGTATATATATTAGTGTTTATTTAAAATTGAGAAAACATATGATCATTAAGATCTTAGAATCTTTATCTCTAAAAACTAAGTTTATTTTTTATAAGTTATTTTTCTCTTTCAATAACCGTTATATATTATATATATATATAAGAGTAGAAGCACCCACGTACAGATCGAAAATTTTAATAATGAATGTTGTTCATTATCGCATGTTTCTCTTCTGGGGAATATATAAATTTTTGTTTAGAAGTAATGAGAATCTTAGTAAGAATTCTCAATGAAAATTACGCAAGAGCAATTTCGTGTTTTATACAAATGGTTAAAATTTCTCTATATATTCTCTCTCTCTCTCTCTCTCTCTTTGATATCTAATAGTTATCATTATAATCTATAAAAAATTTTGAAACTTTAGAAATTTTATAAGATGAAAAACTTTTTCTCGCAAGTTTTCGTAATATTAGAATTTCCCTATTAGAGAATATAAAAACATTTCTTTTTATAAGAGTCGACTAGAATAAAGCGATTGCAAAGAGAGAAAGAGAGAGAAGAGGATAAAAATATTTTATTTCACTCACCAATTTCAACCACGCGTTGGTCGTAAGTATTTGGTTCTTTTCATCCTGCAAAGAACAAAACAGTATTACTTCATATAAACATGATAAAAATAACGATACATGTCGTAATATATATACTATAATTATAAGATATACATTACATAATTGCTAAAATATAACAGAATTTTTCATTGCTTCATATTGTATTAAAGATTCAGTCTCTTTTATTTTAGTTATAGCATAAGAATAATGAAAGGTGCATAATTACATTGTTTTAAATGTTTAAATTAACATGATTATTTACATCAAACTTCAGATTTATTTGATAATTTTTGTTAGAGAAACACATATAACTATATGTATAACACTACTTTTGAATAATTTCACTTAAAATAGATATCTATAAATTTATCTATAAATTATACCTTTTTATCACATTGCTTAAATTCTTCATTTATTCAAGGAATGTTATCATTTTCTAATACAAGCTATTTATTTGAAAATAATGCTATTTGATATATGCATTTGAGAGCATAGCTGCACATATCTCATTCAACGTTGACGCATAAACTCACTCATATGTTCCGCTCGATGCGAGTAAACAGCATACGCATGCAGCAAATATTTATTCACAGAATGAGTTGAAAGTGCGATTAACTTCACCAATATACTCGATAACGCATTGTGCCACCCCGTACATGATTTTAAAATATTTTAAAAAAGCTCGATCGCGCGATATCCATAATGATGACGTTTACGCAACGCATAATTTTAGAATTGAATAAAACACATTGAAACGATTATTATACATGTAATGTAAATATCTAACATAACTAAAAATAACGCAATCGAGTGTCGACAATTATTAATTATTAAAAAAGAAAGAATTAAATTTAAAATCGGATTTGTGTCATCTTATTTATCGAGTGCGCGTTAAAGATTTCTTTATGTCGCGAGAAAGTTACTAACCGCTTTTTGCTCGGCTGGCGATTGCGTATGCGTACAAAATTTGCATTCGCGGTACTAATAAAAAAAATTTGAAGAATCATGAGAGATGAAAGCAAAGATAAGAAAAGCGGGTAGTTCAATCGTAAGAACACCCGTCAAAGAGATAGCCAATAATCGCAAATTGCCGGCTGAAAATATGGCTTCGACCGAGTCGACCAAAAAGAATCGTCCTCTCTCATGCAGTGTTATCGAGAGCTTCAAAGTGATTTATAAAACGAATGTATTTTCTTTGTATTGTTAAATCCCGAGATAAATCCCATAGACAGTCTTATTAATTGAATTTGTTACTCGACGGGCGCATTCCACGTTGTAAAACGAAAATAAATTGGCAAATAATTTTCAAAAAAATAAAAAAATATGAATAAGCAAATAAAAATAATGTTGATTTAATAATATATATTCGCAAAAATGTAATATCAAATTAAATATGGAATGCGACTACATGTAGACGCGATTTTTTGCATTGTCTATTAAAATTTGTCGATTAAAATTTGTTATAACGCATTCGATCATTGTCATATTGCATATAAGTGTTTATACTACAACATAATCTGGAATTCACGAACGATCACGCATGCATCGCACAACATCGAATAAGAAGATCAATTTGAACAATTGCGAACCAAGAGTTGCATGAGAAAGTGCAATTTTAAATCGTAATCTCCCCATCAGATAAAAAGTGAAATATTGTTCCAATCTTCAAGGTTCATTGTAAGGTACATTATAAGAGCGTTCTTAAAAAATACATGTTTGTAATAGTAAAAATAAAATCTTTGAACTTTGCAAACAAAATTATATTTCGCGTAAAATAAAAAATTTTAATTTAAATGCGATATGATTATTTTTGTGAATAATTTATTTACGGAGAGAATAAAAGAATCTGAAAAGGATCTGAAAGATCTTTATAAAAGAAACACTAGAATATATATCTGCAAGATAATTCCATAAAATTTTAACAAAATTTCAGTAAGTAAAATTAACGGAAAATAATCCCATTAATATTTTTGCCGCTCAAATCTCTTTTTGCTTTTTAAAATCTAATGACGAAGGTTTTTGCGTGACAAAGGTTGTGCACCGGTTGTGCACAGCCCACGCATTTCTCTCACATCTTCTCTCAGCACACTTCCGCTTCCGCTATGTCGGCGCTCTTTATGTATGGGTCACACGGATGCGTTTTGTCATGGCTGACTCATTGGCACAACGTAATTGCACCTTGCGACAAAGACTAAAAACTTACAGTGTATAGTGCAATCACTCTCTGCGCTCATCACTCTCGGGCAGTGTCAGCCTGAGTAAAAGTGAACAAAATTACGAGTGATGCTACGAATTAATTTTTGTTGCATCAAGAATCATGAGATATCCCAGCTGATATTACAAAATCATTATGAATTTTTCGCAGACACCGAGCAGATGCTGTAATAAATGAACAAGCAATAATTTCCTTTTTTTATGAATAGAGGAAAGCTAGATTTTCAATTTTTTCTTAGTCTAGAATAATTTTTCTCGAATTCCTGCAAATTCTTTGTTTCGCTTCTATTAATAGATAATATGATGATATTATATTCAATTGAATATACTTTATATATTTTGTGTTACGCATTCTGTCGACGAAATATAACAATCGATCAGATATGCTGAGCTCGGCTCAATGTGAAACCCTGGATGAATAAAAAAGTGCAAATTTCACGGTTCGCTTTCCCGTCTGAAATGACGCGAAATTGGCATACGGATTCCCCATGACGTCGACATTATTCGACGGACTTTGCGGAGATACATAAAATACGCGATTTCCGATCGATGAAAGGCAAAGGTTTCATTTCGTAGCCGACAATGGCGGTAACAATGAATACTGCATTTCTTTCGTTCCGCGATGAATGAAATGTATCAGATTGAATTTCTATGAATTTCACATTTCGGATCGAATCTAGGAACGAGGAAAGCTGTTCGAGTTATGTGAATATCCGTGTATCGTTGCACAATTTATACATAGAGAGCTGAAAAGTCTTAATTAAGGACGGGCAATTAATCAAGATAATTAACGTCATCAGATGCTGACAAAGTGCATAAACATTCGTCAAGTGGAAGGGCACGGCCGTTTCGAAACAAGAGTTTCTGCAATATACGCTATGATTAATCGATGCAACGTGTCGCAACGTAAAAAGTTCACGACGCGTATATTGGCCGCGTAATGCACAAGTTGCATATGTGCAGTACATGAACAAAACCTTGTGCCTCATCGCTGATATCATCCGCTTTTGCTGTAATATAATGCTTGCAATTTTTGTGATTTCTCCACGTTTCTAAAAAAAGAAAGTATAAAAATAGTATTAAAAGTTTAGAATATAATTTTATTTCCTTCTTCGTTATTTTGACTTGCATAGCATATAGTTTACGTACTTTCTGAAAATAATATGTCGTATATTTCTCGACATAGTAAGCAAGAAAACAATGAAATTATTTTCTTTTGTAAGATATGGATGTCTTGTTCGATACCAGCAGCGGTGCAGACAGTAGCGCGAGTCAACGTTTCGTCGACCATGGAAAGTAAAAGAGAAAAAGCCGCGACTGAGCAGCCAAATATTTACGACCGTAAAGTGTAAAAAGTTTATAGCGCGCTAAAAAACTTGGAAATGAAATTAAGGGGAAGGAAGCGTGGATCGCGTCGGTTTCGATATTATCTCCCACTGCTTTATAAAAGAGATAATAAAAATCGCGTGCGCGATGTATGATATATAATGTAGAAAGTATTATAAAGATCACGTATTGGAGAAGTGCTCGTGTTTTTTTTTTTATATATGAGACACAATTTCAAAAGTTAAATACTTTCTACATAAAAAATCAATGCTGTTTTGCATGACTTTTCGACTACATAAAAATGTGATTAGTTTCAGTTTACTACAGAATGCAACAAGTTTTGTTGATTTTGTTTCGCGTTCCACGCTAACATCGGAGTCGAGTTCCTGCCATTATGAACTTTTTCACCTTTTTATTTCGTCACCAATTAAAGGAACTTTGCTTTTACGAAAGATCTCAATTCCGAGATTAAATAAAAGTTTGAATTTAAAGCTAAATATATCAAGGAAAAACTTTTTTTGGCTAATACTCTCGTATTTATGTGATCAATATAGAGCG